TAGAATGTACAGCACAGGGCCGTAGACGTGGCTTATATACTGTAGCGAGGTGAGGCGAAGCAGGAGGAGGCGAGGTCATAGTGGTACAATCCACTAGTCGAAGTAGGTCATCGTCCAAAGGTTGGACAAGTGTTGAAGAATTCTTTGTAACAAGATCCCATGATGCTGCAGTGTCAGACAGTTGTGATGAATGGTTTGAAAAACCGACAAGTTGAAGATTGAGACACTTATGCAACATATGGGAATCTTTATTCAGGAAACGTTTCGCCACACAGTGGCTTCATCAGTCCGATACAAAGTAGAAAGGCGTAAGGAGAGGAGGAGTTTGAGGTAATCAGTCCCTCAGCCTGGACTCGATGTGTTCAGTCCATCAATCTTGTAGAATGTACAGCATAGGGCCATAGACGTGGCTTATACACTGTAGTGAGGTGAGGCGAAGCAGGAGGAGGTGAGGTCATAGTGGTACCATCCACTAGTCAAAGTAGGTCATCGTCCAAAGGTTGGACAAGTGTTGAAGAATTCTTTGTAACAAGATCCCATGATGCTTCAGTGTCAGACAGTTCCTGAGGGACTGATTACCTCAAACTCCTCCTCTCCTTACGCCTTTCTACTTTGTATCGGACTGATGAAGCCACTGTGTGGCAAAACGTTTCCTGAATAAAGATTCCCATATGTTGCATAAGTGTCTCAATCTTCACACCTATCTGATATTATACTGATGCCAAATGACTTTAAATAGGCGATGACATGCCCATGCACTCTGCCCCAGGCCCAGACTCATGGAACTCAGTGTTCATCACGAACTGCAAGAAGCCCCTATCACGTGCTTTTAACTCCATGTGGAGTGGGAGCATGGAAACTGGGGTCGTCCCACAGTTACAAAAAACAACAAACATAGCCCCATTCCACAAAGGAGGCAGTAAAGCAATAGCAAAGAACTACAGACTGATAGCGCTAACATCCCATATCATAAAAATCTCTGAAAGGGTTCTAAGAAGCAAGATCACCACCCATCTAGATACCCATCAGTTACACAACCCAGGGCAGCATGGGTTTAGAGCAGGTCATTCCTGTCTGTCCCAAATATTGGACCACTGGAGTTTACCTGGAGAGAGTTCCAGGGGTCAACGACCTCGTGGCCCGGTCTGTGACCTGGCTTCATGGTGGATCAGGGCCTGATCAACCAGGCTGTTACCATTGGCCGCATGTAATCTAACGTACAAACCACAGCCCGGCTGGTCAGGTACCGGCTTTAGGTGCTTGTCCAGTGCCTGCTTGAAGACAGCCAGAGGTCTATTGGTAATCCCCCTTATGTATGCTGGGAGGCAGTTGAACAGTCTTGGGACCCTGACACTTATTGTGTTGTCTCTTAACGTGCTAGTGGCACCCCTGCTTTTTACTGGGGGGATTATGCATTGTCTGCCGAGTCTTTTGCTTTCGTAAGAAGTGATTTTCATGTGCAAGTTTGGTACTAGTCCCTCTAGGATTTTTCCAGGTGTATATAATCATGTATCTCTCCCAGCTGCATTCCAGGGAGTACAGGTTCAGGTACTTCAAGCGTTCCCAGTAATTGAGGTGTTTCACTACGACAAGGTCCTAGATGCTCTAGAAGACAAACAGAATGCAGATGTAATACACAGACTTTGCAAAAGCCTTTGACGAGTGTGACCATGGTGTAATTGCGCATAAAACGCGTGATAAATGACTAACCGGAAAAGTCAGTAGATGGGTCTATAATTTCCTAGCAAACAGAACGCAGAGTAGTAGTCAACAGAGTAAAGTCTGAGGCAGCTACGTTGAAAGGTCTGTTCCACAAGGCACAGTACTCACCCCGATCCTGTTCCTCATCCTCATATCAGACACAGACAGGGATATAAACCACAGTGCCATGTCTTCCTTTGCAGATGGCACCCAAATTTGCTTGACAGTGTCCTCCATTGAAGACACTGCAAGACTCCAGGCAGACATCAACCAACTCTTTAAATGAGCTGCAGAAAACAATATTAAGTTTAATGATGAGAAATTTCAATTACTCCTATGTGGAAAACGTGAGGAAATTAAAACTTCATCAGAGAATAAAACAAATTTCAACCACACACTAGAGCAAACAATTAATGTCAAAGACCTGGGAGTGATCATGTCAGATGGTCTCACCTTAAAGGACCAAAACATTGTATCAATCACCTCTTCTAGAAAAATGACAGGATGGATAATGAGAACCTTCAAAACCAGGGATGCCAAGCCCATGATGATACTCTTCAGGTCACTTGTTCTATCCAGGCTGGAATATTGCTGCACACTAGCAGCACCTTTCAAGGCAAGTGAAATTGCTGACCTAGAAAACCTTCACGGCGCGCATAACTGCGATAAACCACCTCAATTACTGTGAACGCTTGAAGTTCCTAAACCTGTACTCCCTAGAATGCAGGAGGGAGAGATATATGATTATATACACTTATAAAATCCTATAGGGACTAGTACCAAACTTGCACACGAAAATCGCTCCCTATGAAAGCAAAAGACTCGGCAGATGGTGCAACATCCCCGCAACGAAAAGCAGGGGTGCCACTAGCACGATAAGAGACAACACATTAAGTGTCAGGGGCCCAAGACTGTTCAACTGCCTCCCAGCATACATTAGGGGGATTACCAATAGACCCCTGGCTGTCTTCAAGCAGGCACTGGACAGGCACCTAAAGTCAGTACCTGACCAGCTGGGCTGTGGTTTGTACATTGGATTATGAGCAGCCAGCAGTAACAGCCTGGTTGATCAGGCCCTGATCCACCATGAGGCCTGGTCACAGACTAGGCGGCAGGGGTGATGACCCCCGAAACTCTCTCCACGTACACTCAAGGTACACCATTAAATTAGTTTATAAAGATTACAGTATTACAATAGATCAATTTAAAACAATTTACAATACGATGTATTACAATTTAGTACTATTTAAAACAATGAAACTTAGACATCCTAATTTTGTAGTAGTGGGTAAGTGGTTGAGCAATCCTCAGCACAATATGAGTAGCTTTTGAGTAACTGGTAGGTATTAGGTACGGTTTGTCTGGTTAATTTTGGGTGATGTGATTTCTTAGTAGGGCCTTAAACTGATTTGCAGACAGGGGTCCTTTAGTGTGTTCTGGCAATGAATTCCAGATCTTCAGGCCCTTTACATGCACAGCATTTTTGCATAGGGATAGATGGACAAGAGGGATATCGAAAAGTGAACTGTATCTCATATTATGGCTCTGTGTTTTGTTATAGTTATCAATGAGGAGTTTGAGAGGAGGGTTTATATTTGAGTATAGTGTTCTGAGTATGTATTAGGCACAATAATAAGTGGGGATGTTTTGTATATTAAGCAAGTTAAAGTGGTAGTGTGTGTTGTCTAATGCAGGAGTTAGTAATAAATCACACTGCAGCTTTTTGTTGGGTTAAAAGCTTAAGATGATTTGTTGTGGTTGAGCCCCATGAACGAATACCATAGGTGAGGTAAGGGTAAATGAGAGAATGGTAAAGAGCTAGAAGAGCTGATTGGGGTACATAGTACCACATTTTTGAAAGGATGCCTACCGTTTTGGAGACTTTCTTGGAAATTTGCTATATGTGTCTGAAATCTGAGACTGCAGTCATGGTGGAGACCTAGAAATTTGCCCTCTGTCTGTCTAGAAATAGGTGAACCATTTATCAATGTTTAGCTGTACATTTGAAGCTCTGTTTCCAAAAAGAATGAAGTAGGTTTTGTCTATATTGAGAATAAGTTTGTCGGTAGTCATCCAAGTAGATATTTTTAGCAGTTCAGCATTTACAGTGTCTGTTAATATGGTTGGGTTTTGAGTGAGAAAAGACATACGTAGTTTCATCTGCAAATAAAATGGGTTTAAGGAGATTAGATGCATTTGGTAGGTCATTGACATAACCGAGAAGGAGAAGTGGGCCAAGGACACTCCCCTGTGGGACTCCTACAAGAATAGGTTGTGTAGTGGAGCTGGCTCCATTTGTGTATACATACTGGGTTCTATTGCCAAGATAAGATTTTAGGTAATCGAGTGTGTCCTCTAACCCCATAATGTTCGAGTTTTAGGTGCAAACAGTCAAGGTCAACTGTAACAAAAGCTTTTTTAAGTCTATGAAAAGTCCCAGGGGAAACTCATTTTATTCAAGTGCAGAATACATTAGTTCATGCATATGTATAATAGCATCATTAGTACTTTTTTTCGGTCTAAATCCAAACTGACAGGGGTTGAGTATGTTGTGGGATACTAAATAGGAGTAGACTTGTTTGTTTGTGAATCCTCCTTGGAGGATCTGGGTATGGATGGAAAGGTTGTGGTTCGTACGTCAGTTTGCGTGCGGCCAACAGCGACAGCCTGGTTGATCAGGCCCTGATTCACCGCGAGGCTAGGTCACAGACCGAGCCGCGGGGGCATTGACCCCCGAAACCCTCTCCTGGTATGGCAATGACCAATTAAGACCCCCATGCAGGTCTGACATGACCTGCCTGGTCACGTGACCTCAGGTCAACACTACTATTAACACCTTACAAAAAAAAAACTCTGTCCCTGGTAACATTCATCAAAGAGCTATGAGAGAATATTTAGTTTATTATTTAGTTAGTAATTACCCGTGTGTGGCAAGTAGAGTGAGAGAGAACTTTATAATATTGTTGACCCACTCAGGTAAACACAACAACATTCATTAACCAATTCTTTTTTTATTGTCTTGTAACTATATAAGAAAATAGAAAACTACAATGCCTCCTTTTTTTCCTGACGATCCTCAGTTAAATCATCGCCTTTTTTTGTCACCGTTTTATGGTATTTTTTAATAGGTATATACAAATAAAAAATATTAGGTCTTGATTTTACGTAAAGTTAACTGTAATAAATTCTGTTGCCTTAATATTGTTGTACAAATAACTATCAGAATATTATCATCATCAATAGCTTTGAAGCGATGAGTTTGAGATTACATTTTACCCAAATATAATTTGTCTAGTAACAGCTGATGAGGTGAGTGACGTCACCGGGCTGGGCCAGGCCAGTCTCAACATTGTTTACTCACATTAAAATACAGTTTTTGTATAATTTCCCGTTAAAATGCCACTTTACGAAGGCTTGGGTGGTATTGGATTAATCAACGAGAAAAATATCACTGTGGTTTTCGATTTTGGCGCTGCCTATACAAAGTGAGTTAATATTCCCGTGGAAATGTACCTTATTTGACATTTATTTATTTATTTAGTAATTTTAGCATACATACAGAGGTACAAAAAAATACAGGTAAGAGCAGCATGCCAAAGCCACTTATATGCATAGCATTACGGGCTGGCTTAAAATTAACTTAAGATTAACTAAGCAATGATGAAATGAGTGATAAAACATTATTGTAAACAGATAACTATAAAGCACAAATGAGCATTACAAAGACAGGTCATATGGTTGCATGCATTGCTGTACATTCAGTAGAATGGAGTATTCTGTTAGGTAGTGTATTTAAAAAATAATAGATTGGGTTTTAGATTTAACATTTATGTGATATAATTGTGAGAAACATTTAAGATATACAATTTATAAGGTTCAGTTATTCAGTATTTATTTGGTTTTGGGTGAGTAAGTGAACTTTGAGAAGAGACTTGAATTTATAAACAGGTAGTGTTTCTTTTATATTTACAGGTAATGAATTCCAGATTTTAAGATAAGATAAGATAAGATTTCGTTCGGATTTTTAACCCCGGAGGGTTAGCCACCCAGGATAACCCAAGAAAGTCAGTGCGTCATCGAGGACTGTCTAACTTATTTCCATTGGGGTCCTTAATCTTGTCCCCCAGGATGCGACCCACACCAGTCGACTAACATCCAGGTACCTATTTGCTGCTAGGTGAACAGGACAACAGGTGTAAGGAAACGTGTCGAATGTTTCCACCCGCCGGGAATCGAACCCGGGCCCTCCGTGTGTGAAGCGGGAGCTTTAGCCACCAGGCCACCGGGCCTTTTATGTGCATTGAGTTTTTGTATAGCATGAGATGGACATGAGGAACATCAAAGAGTGATCTGTGCCTTGTGTTATGGTCATGTGTTCTGTTGAGGTTGGCAAGGAGGTGTCTGAGGGGAGGGTTAATATCAGAGTTAAGTGTTCTATGTATGTAATAGGTGCAATAATAAATATGGATGTTTTGTATGGTGAGTAGGTTGAGTGTTTTGAATATTGGTGGAGTGTGCTGCCTGTAGTGAGAATTTGTTATCATTCTAACTGCAGCCTTTTTTTTGGTAATTAGTGGTCTGAGATGGTTAATTTGTTGTTGAGCCCCATGCACAAATTCCATAGGTGAGATAGGGGTAAATAAGAGAGTGATATAGGGCCAGGAGGGGTGACTGTGGAACATAGTACCGTACTTCGATAGTATGCCTACAGTCTTGGAAATTTTCTTAGAAATTTGTTGTATATGTGTAAAGAAATTTGAGTCTATTTATCAAGGTGGATTCCTAAGAATTTTCCCTCTGTTAGCTTTGTGATAGGTGATCCGTTTAATCATTATGTTAAGAGGGACATCTGTACTCTGTTACCAAACTGAATGAAGTAGGTTTTGTCAATGTTTAGTGTAAGTTTGTTAGTCCTCATCCAGGTAGATATTTTTTTGTAATTCGGTGTTTACAGTATTGGCTAGCGTGACTGGGCTCGGGTGAGAGAAGACGTATGTAGTGTTCCCTCTGCAAATAGTGTGGGTTTGAGTAATTGCGAAGCATTTGGTAGGTCATTTTATGTATAGGAGAAAGAGAAGAGGGCCAAGGACACTTCCCTGTGGGACACCAACTGTAATTGGTTGTGCGGAAGAGCTTGCCCCATTTGCGTACACATATTGGCTTCTGTTGCTGAGGTATGACTTGAGGTAGTTGAGGGAGTGCCCTCTAATACCATAGTGTGACAATTTTACGTGGAGCAAGTCATGGTCAACTGTATCAAAAGCTTTACGTAAGTCAATGAAGATCCCCAGTGGGACTTCTTTTTTCTCTATTGCAGTGTATATATGTTCTAGCATGTGTATTTATGGAGTTATTCTGTTAAATATATTTGTCACCACTCTATGACTTATAATATTATGCTTAGTGCAACTATTATAGGACTTTAGGTCAGTATGTACTTTACTCTCTGGTTGGACTTTGTTTTTGGATTATTCTAGGTCTAACTTTTTTGGGTTATCCTAAATAATTTACACATATGCTGTTCTGTATGATGATCTATGTAACTCTATTTGTATACCTGAATGAACTTAATTAAATAAGTTTATTCAGTTACACATATACAAATACAGTTATATAGATTATCATACATAGCAGCATATGTGTAGAGAACCTGGGATAACCCACAAAAAAGTCTAAGTGACTTATTTCCATTGGGGTCCTTATTATTATACTATAAAGGAGATACTCTGTTTCTAGCCCCAACCTCCTCGAGGGAGGTTCCTTGATGCTGGTGGGGCTCTTGATCTAGGGAATTAGCTCTAGGAAGTGCTCCATTTCCCTGAATTAAGCCTCAATACCCTCCATCCCCCCCATAGGCGGTGTAATCCTACCTACCTGGAGTCTACCTGGAGGGTATTCCTGGGATCAACGCCCCCACGGCCCAGTCAATGACCAGGCCGCCTGGTGGATCAGGGCCTGATCAATGAGGCTGTTACTGCTGGCCGCCCATAGTCCGGTGTATGAACCACAGCCCGGCTGATCTGGCACTGACTTTAAGTATCTGTCCGGCTCCCTCTTGAGGACAACCAGGGGCCTATTGGTAATTCCTCTTATGGCTGGTGGGAGGCTGTTGAACAGTCTTGGGCCCCAGACACTTATTGTGTTTTCCCTTAGTGTACTAATGGCGCCCCTACTTTTCACTGGGGGTATGTTGCATCACCTGCCAAGTCTTATGCTTTCGTAGGGAGTGATTTCTGCGTGCAGATTAGGGACCAGTCCCTCCAGGATCTTCCAGGAGTAGATTATGATGTATCTCTCTCGCCTGCGCTCCAGCGAGTACAAGTCAAGTGCTTCCAGGCGCTCCCAGCAGTTAAAGTGTTTGATGGAACTTATATGTGCAGTAAAGGTTCTCTGTACATTCTTTAGATCTGCAGTTTCACCTGCCTTGAATGGAGATGTTAATGTACAGCAGTATTCCAGCCTAGAGGGAACAAATGATTTAAAAAGGATCATTGTTGGCTTGGCATCTGTTGTCTTGAATGTTCTCGTTATCCATCCTATCAGTTTCCTCACAGATGTGATAGTGGCATTGTTGTGACCCTTGAAGGTGAGATCCTCAGACATTACCACTCCCAGGTCCTTCACATTACTTTTCCGCTCTTTTGTGTGATTAGAGTTTGTAGTGTACTCAATTCTATCTATTATTTTCTCCAATTTTCCATAACGGAGTAATTGGAATTTGTTTTCATTGAACGTCATATTGTTCTCCATTGCCCATTGGAAAACTTGATTTATATCTTGTTGGAGATTTACCATGGCCTTGATAGATAACACACTCATGCAGAGCCTAATATCATCTGCAAAGGATGATATGGTGCTATGGTTTACATCTCTGTCTATGTCTGATATGAGGATGAGGAACAGGATAGGGGTGAGTACTGTGCCTTGTGAAACAGAATTCTTCACTATGGCAGCTTCCGATTTAACTCTGTTTACCACTACTCTTTGTGTTCAGTTGGTTAGAAAGTCGAAGATCCATCTGCCTACTTTGCCAGTTGTCCCTTTAGCACGCATTTGGTGTGCTATTACACCATGATCACACTTGTCAAAGGCTTTTCCAAAGTCTGTGTGTACTACATCTGCATTCTGTTTGTTTTCCAGTGCATCCAAGACCATACCATAGTGGTCCAGTAGTTGCAAGAGGCAGAAGTGACCTGCTCTGAACCAATGTTGCCCTGGATTGTGCAATTGTTGTGAGTCCAAGTGATTTGCAATCCTGCTTCTTAGAACTCATTCAAAGATTTTTATGATGTGGGATGTTAAAGCTATTGGTCTATAGTTCTTAGCTGTTGCTTTGCTGCCGCCTTTATGGAGTGGGGCTGTATCACTTGTTTTTAGTGACTGTGGAATCTCGCCTGTCTCTATGCTCCTTCTCCATAACATACTTAGGGCCCGTGAGAGGAGTTCCACGAGTCTGGGCCTGGGGCTGAGTGCATGGGCATGTTGTCGATTGCTTTCTCAAAGTTTAGTGGAGTTAGGGTTATGTCAGAAATATGGCATACATTGGCAGGGTTTTGAGGCTCATTCATGAAAAAATTGTTTGGATTGTCTATCTTTAGACTGATTAGTGGCTCGCTGAGCACAGTGTCTTATTGAGATTTCAGTATCTCACCCATTTCTTTGTTGATAAATTAGACACGTGCAACTCTTGGGTATCTTTATTGAGGAAACGTTTCGCCACACAGTGGCTTCATCAGTCCATGCAAAGGAGAATCGTGAAGAACAGGAGGAGAATGAGGCAATCAGTCCCTCAACCTGAGTCAATGTGGTCAGTCCATCAATCTTGATGGACTGACCACATTAACCCTTTCAGGGTTCAGAGGCCAAATTTCAAAGTGTGCACCAGGGTCCAAGAATTTTCCAAACAAAATTTTGTTATTTTTTCTTATGAAATGGTAGAGAATCTTTTTCTGAAGGTAATAAAACAAAAAGTACGAAATTTGATGGAAAATTGATGGAATTATGCTTGCGAATTTTCATGTGTCAGCGATATTTACGCATCAGCGATTTTGCTGACTTTGATTCCCATTTTAGGCCAATTACATTATTCCAGTTGACCAAATTCTTAGCTATTTCACTAGTATTACTTCTGTTCTATCAATTGAGCACAAGAAATTGCCAAGTCAACTGTTTCAGCTACAAAATAAAGCGATCGGAAATTGATAATTTGACCAGTTTAATGCAAAGTTCAAAATATTTCAATTTCAAAATAGGGTCCAAATTAAACAATGCAGGTATTCCTGGCACTAAACTAACATTTCCTCTGTTCATTAGTTACATTTTCAGGCTTTACAAATGAATTCCATTTTGATTTTTTATTCACATAATGAATTTTTATTCAAACCAAAAAATAGAAGATTTACTGTTATGCAGTATTGTAATAATTGTATAAATAATATCACCACATTTGTGAACATATATTAGACCCACCAGCTGTCGTGTGTTAGACGTGTGAGATCATTTGTTTACTCTTGAACTGGCAAAAATTTAACATTTCTGCTACTTTGAGCTCAGTTTCAAGCCATTTCCAGTACTAAAACCAATCAAAATCATCTCTATTTCTGTAATATATCTTCCATTCTATCAAATGAGACCAAGAAATCGCAAATACAACTATAAAAAAACATAGGAAAAAACACTGCAAAGTCGCTGTTTTAATTGAAAATTATGGTCTCATTTTTTCTCTCATGCACTGTGTGCTGCAGGATTTGTTTTATGTGGTGCACACGTACCACATAGATGTATTCTCTCATATCTAGGCCAAAATTTCCCGCTCACAGCTTATCAGAGTGAGCTGAGCTCATGGCGTAGGTCTATGGTTTTGACCCTCAACTCAAAGCCATAGAAATACTGCACGGCCCCTGATAAGGTTAAGCTCGTACATAGGTACACTCTCAGACCAGGACAATTACAGGTTGTAGATTCATTTTCATTTTCCTCATGATCAAGCTCTGTCTAAAATTAAGCGGAAGTATGTACATGTATTAGTGGGTATCAGCTAATTTTGATGGTATTTATATTGACCTAAAACTGAGTATTGGTATCAGCAAAAAATCTGGTATTGTTCTATCCCTATACTGCATGTTGGCTTAATGCCTATCTTTAACAGAGAGAGACTTGGGGAGTGGAAGGGAGGCTTTTTCTGTGCTAATAAACTGGAAAAGGGTGGCTCATGGCTATGTGTTAGAACTTTCAGCTTGCATCTGAAAGACCTGGGTTTATTCCAGCACAAGTGGAAAATTTGAGCATGTTTCTTTATAGCTTTTGCCTTCTCCCTGCCATAAGTAGGTACCTGCGTGTTAGCCAGCTGCTTTTGGTCACATACTGGGAAAGAGGATCAAATGATCCCAATGGAAACAAACCAGAGATACAAGATTTATTGGCTTAACCTATGTTATTAACCCTCCTGAAGAGTTAATAATCCAAATAAAATTTTCCTCATCTTCTACCAAGGTAGGGTGACCTGAAAAAGAAGAAATGCTGTCATGGAGCTTTTCTTTTTACATTTAGTAATTTATACAGGAGAAGGGGTTATTAGCCCCTTGACTCCTCACACCAATATGATGTTATCCCTCCCTGCCCCATGCACGAAATTGCTGCCTCCCTTTCATCGCTAACATTCAACAACTTGTCAGTACTATCCTCTCCATCTTTCCAGTTCCTCCACTTTCTCATCTAATATCTCCACTCTTTTGTTTTAAACTGGTAAGTTCATTTGATGGTGGAACTATGGCTATATTCAAAAATTAACCTGTTCACTATTTTCAGGGCTGGGTTTGCCGGAGAAACTGGACCTCGTGTAATAGCAAAATCAGAAGTTATTTGTCGAGAGACTGGAAAGACTGTGCCAGTGTTCCAGGCAAAGGATGATGAGGAGCTGAGGCACCACCTTGTAGATTTCATTCATAAACTTTATTTCAGGTGAGACACAGGGCATCAGTAACAATTGCATATTATTGCCACTAGGTACATAGCAAAGTTGCAGGGGATAGTGGAGAAGTTTGGGAATGTGTATAAAAGAAAGAGGTTGAAAGTAAACACAGAGAACAGCACAAGATGAGATTAACTCTTTCAGGGTCTATGCCGTAGATCTACGGCTATACGTTGAGGGTTCAAACTGTAGATCTATGCCAAAATTCTAGCGGCGTCAAATTTAGCATGAGAAGGCTGGTAGACCTACATCTGAGAGAACGGGTCTGCGTGGTGTATGTGCGCTGTAAACAAAAATTCTAGGCACCCACATGGCATTGTGGGAATGCCGCCTCCGTTACCTTTGTTCACCGTGCCTCATCGCAAGGCATCTCTCACTCCAAGGCGAATTGGGACTCTCCTCTTCCTATCTGATAGTTCCGACTCTGCTGGAAGTGGAAATGAAGACAAATTCTATGGCTTTGATCAATTAGTGACTGAAAGGAATGACCAGGATATCGAAAATAGTGCAGAAAATCCTGACGATCCTCAACCTTCTACCTCTGGTGTAGGAACGTCTCAGTCATGTTCAGTTGTACCTCGTCGCAAGAGAAAACTAATATTTTCGCGTGGCCAGGCCTCAGACTTCAGTAATGATGATGATAGTGATGTGGATTGTGATTTTATTGCTCTTGACAATCATTCGAGTAGTGATAGTGAGGAATTGTATTCACCAGTGAAGCATTGGTATTTACGCCGCCGCATGTGCTCGGGTAGTGTTCCCTATGCAGTGCCCAGGGGACGGAGTACATCCCGTGGCCCTACACCAGTAATAGACAATGAAAGTGAGGATGATGTGGCTACACTTGGCATGGATAGACCACAGGCATGGATAGACCACAGGCATCAGTAGGTGGTGGTATTGGTGGTGATGGTAGTTCCACGGCCATGCATGACTCACCAGCCCAGGCTGGGACCCACGCCGCTGACTCCTCAGCTCAAGGACAAAGCGGAGCATCAGCCACCACCCCACCACAACCACAACTACCACCACAACCAGCTTATGATGTCCAGTATCCACCAGCAAACTGTATCTGGGATTGGCAGCAAAATCGCAATTTTGTTCCCAAGCCCCACCAGTTTGATGACTCTCAAAGTGGAATTCTACCAACTTGTTCCCTTGGAAACACTGCAAATGAACTGGAATTCTTTGAACTATTCTTTGACCAGCCCTTGATGGAAACTATTGTCAGGGAAAGTAACAAGTATTTTGAGTACACCATGGCAAATACGATCATATCACCACAGTCAAGACTAAACTGGTGGAAAGAGACAGCTGTTGCTGAAATGTATTTGCTTTTTGCAACGAAAATGCTTATGTCTCATGTCTATAAGCATAATATAAAATCATACTGGTCCACAGATCGGCTAATTTGTACCATGGCCTTCAGTGAAATCATCCCAGTGAACAGGTTTATCTTACTGTTACTTATGTTGCACTTCTCTGACAAAACCAGGCCTAACAGAAGTGACAGGTTATACAAGATTAGAAATGTTTTTATGTATCTGAAACAAAAGTTCAACATGTACTTTTATCCATTCAAGAATCTTGTAATTGACAAGTCTTTGATTTTGTTCAAAGGTAGACTGTCATTCAAGCAGTATATACCAAGCAAGAGGAAATGGTTTGGTATAAAACTGTTTTTACTCTGTGACTGTGATAGTGGCTTGGTATTGGATATTATTGTATACACGGGAAGTAAAACATTGAAAGATACCTGGATGTTATTGGGTATCTCAGGTGACGTAGTGAGAAACATGATGGCACCTTATCTTGGTAAGGGGCATACATTATATACTGATAACTGGTACACAAGCCCTTTACTCAGTGATTTCTTGCGAGTGAACATGACAGATGTGTGTGGCACAGTGCGTTCTAATCATAAACATATGCCCAGGTTCAACACAGGCACTCGTAGTGGTGAGGTGCAGGTGTTTACTGCCAATGACATCATTGTATTACGGTGGCATGACAAACAAGATGTCACATTGTTGACAACCATTCACCCTAACAGAATGCAAGACAGTGGCAAAGTTGATAGAGTAACTAATGAATGTATTCGAAAACCAATGACAGTGATTGACTATACACAAAACATGCATTTGGTTGACAAATGTGACATGCAAATAGGCTTTGTTGATTGTGTTCGTAAGAGTTACAAGTGGTACATGAAACTTTTCTTCCATCTCATGGACATTTCAATGCTCATTGCATATAATGTGTACCAAATGAAGACCGGCAACAGACCACCGTATGGTGAATTTTGTATGTCTCTTGTCAGACAACTCATAATGAAGTACCAGGTAACAACACCTGCTATACAAAACCGTCCTCGAACTCCTCAGGATATACCCAAGCGTTTGAGGAGGGGAGGTGATCACTTCATAATACAGCTTCCTGCAACTAAGAAGAAATTTGCTAAGAAGAGATGTGTTGTCTCTGCACAAACAAAATGACGACAACAAAGACGCAAAGACACTCGCTTTATGTGTGAGGAATGTAAGGTACCTCTGTGCATGATACCTTGTTTCAAGGACTTCCACAAGCTGCAGCAGTTCTAAAAACATGTCCAGTGACTGTACATATGTAAATATATAATGGAACATTAGTATTATACAAGATTTGTGCATGTTTATTGTAGTAAACAATAGTGGTAAACAATATTATAACTTTAGTGCAGTTATTGTGTTTAATACAGTGAGCGTATATATATACACTATATACAGTATTGGTCTCACAGGCCACAAATGTTACTAGAAAAAGAAAAAATTAGAAAAGAAAAGAAAAAAGTATAAAAAATGTAAATTAAAGAAATGCTATTTTGTGGAAATCGCTAATGTTGCCGCCACCCAGTCATTTTGGGTCAACTTCTCGCCTCTGTATCTCGGTAAGTACTGATCAGAATTTTTTTTTGTTTTACTACCTTCACAAAAATATAATCTTTAATTCTATTAGATTTTTTTTGAGACATTATGTGCTGTTACACTGCACAGTGTACTTTTAGAAAGACAGCCAGGGAATGAGTCATGGTGAATCTGTTTGTTTATATTTTATATTGCAGGCATCTCCTTGTCAACCCCAAAGATAGACGTGTTGTGGTGGTTGAGAATCTCCTAGGTCCAAGCAGTGTTCGCAATATATTAGCTAAAGTTCTTTTTCGTCATTATGAGGTATGGTATAAGTGTTCTTTTTCATGATTTTTGTTGTGCTGTATTTTAACAGTGTTTGCAAATCAAAGTATTGAAGCTTTGCTGTGTTATATAATTTCATAGGAGTATACTGTACATAACTTAAGTAGTGCTTTGTAACCTTTTGTGGATTTTTAGAAGAATATGTACAGTGTACTGTGGTACCCCAAATTTCGTACAGCTCCCAACTCCAACAGTTATGTAAGTCTGAAACGGACTAATCTAATTTACATCATTCCTAATGGGAACAAATTCGTTCAGTAACAGCACTTGAACAGCCTTCTGGAACGAATCATGGCTGAAACTCTGGGTACCACTGTACTAGTAATATTTTTTACTTCAACAGCCATAGCACCGTAGCATATAGAGTATACAGTGGAACCTTGACTTACGAATTTAATATTCCATGACCTAGCTTGTAAATCAATTTGCTCATACATCAAATCAGTTTTCCTCACTTACGTTAATTGGAATGCCATTAATCCGTTCCAGCAGAATTCCTGCTCTTGGGAAGCAGGACAAAATACTTCAGTATGACACTAATATCAACTCTACGGCTTATTTATCTGTCACAGTTCATCTAGTATGACATAATTAAATAATATAAATAACATAGAAACATGATATATACTCTAGAATGAATAAAATATGTCATGTGTTGGGCGGTGGCGGCCATTGCTGCTCCTGCACTGACCATGCTTCCCATCCTTCCCATGCTTTCCCTTCAGAAGTCTTATTATAAGAGAAAATGGAGTTTGTGAGGCTAACTGCACTAGATCACTAGTTTCAACCCCAACAACAAAGATAGGCAGAGGAGACTGGAGGAGTTCGTTTCGTTTCATGCTTTATATATCACTTAATCTCTTAACTTACTTGCTACACTCTTAACCCTTTGACTGTTTCAGTCATATATATATGTCTTACAAGCCAATGTGTTTGACATATTAACCCTTTCAGGGTCCAAGGCCAAAATTGGAAGGGGTGCCCCAGTGTCCAAGAAATTTAAAAAAAAAATAATATTTTTTCTTACAGAATTAAAGATAATATATTTGTGAAGGTAATAAAACAAAAAAAAATTTCTGATCAGTACTTACCGAGATACAGTGGCGAGAAGTTGACCCAAAATGACCGGGTGGCAACATCAGTGACTTCCGCAAAATCGCATTTTTTTTATTTTACGTTTTTATACTTTTTTCTTTTCTTTTCTAATTTTTTTCTTTTTCTAGTAACATTTGTGGCCTGTGAGACCAATATAATGTATATTGTATAAGTGTACACTCATTGTATTCAACACAATAACTGCATTAATTTGTTTATCATTATATTGCTTACAAAACTTGTTTACAAGTTTATTGTAAACAAAATGATGAAAATATTAGTGTGGTTATTGTGTTGAATACAATGGTACCATATAGTACCATATGGTACAATGGTGCCATAGGGTGCAATGGTACCATATAGAACAATTGTACATATGGTACAATGCAACATGATACAATGGTACCATATGGTAGAATATGGTACAGTGGCACCATTTCATACAATGGTACCATATGGTGCAATGGTACCATATGGTGCAGTGGTACCATATGGCACAATGGTACCATATGGTACATTGTACCATACAGTACAATGATACCATATGGTTCGTTGTACCAAATGGTACTGTTGTATTCAACACAAACACACTAATATTTTCATTATTATTTTGTTTACAATAATTGTTTACAACAAAAATATGCAAAAATGTTGTATATTAGTAATGTTCTATTATATTTTTACAAATGTACAGGAACTCGACATGTTCCTTGAGGTGGATGACAAAGTGCTTTGTCTTGGAAACTGCGGAGTCAGTAGCTAGCTTGCATCGCCACTCACTCAGTCTTGGCTGGTGTCTCCTGCCACCAACACGTATTGACCATATGGTACACAGTATCATATGTTACAGGGTACCATATGGTATATTGTACTATATGGTATAGGGTACCATACAGTACAGGACACCATATGGTACAGATACAGGGATCCCTATGGAAATATGTCACCCTAACTTTTTGGGTTATCCTAGGATTTTATACGTATGCTGCTATGTATGATAATCTATGTAATTGTATTTCTGTACACCTGAATAAACTTATTCAAGCGCATGTGGCATCATAAGTAAGTTTATTTAGGTATACACAAATAAAGTTACATAGAATATCATACTTAGCAGCATATGTTTGGAGAACCTAGGATAACCCAAAAAAGTCAGACAGACTTATTTCCATTAGGGTTCCTGTACCCTATGGTATAATGTACCATATGGTACAATGTACTATATGGTACATTGTACCATATGGTACCATTGTACCATATACCATTATACCATGATACCATTGTATGACATGGCACCATTGTACCAAATGGTACCATTGTACCATATGGCACAATGGTACCATATGGTTCAAAACCATAGAATTCCTCTTCAGCTCCACTTCCATCAGTCTTAGAACTGTAAGTTGTGAAGAGGAAAGTCAGAATTCACCCGGAGAGTGAGTGGGGAGTGATAGCTTCCTTGCCGCCAGGCACGATGAACAAAGCTACTTTGGCAGCGTTCCCACAATGCCATGCGGACATCCAGATTTTTTCTATAGTGTGCACACTGACCACCAAGACCCATTCTCTCAGATGTAGGCCTACCAGCCTTCTCGCACTAAATTTGACACCGCTAGAATTTTGGCATAGATCTACGGTTTGGACCCCTGATTGTAAAGCCGTAGATCTACAGGATGGACTCTGAAAGGGTTAACACTCCAAAATTCTAGCTGCTTCAAAACAAGCAGGAGAAAGCTTGTAGGCGCACGTGTGAGAGAATAGGTCTCCATGGTCAGTGTGCGCACTTTTAAAAAATCGGGGAGCCAGTGGTGCATTGTAGGAATGCCATTTCAGTAGTCCTTGTTCAGCATGCCTAGCAGTAAGAAATACGTATGTGACTCTCTGGCGAATCTGGGCCTTTTCTCTTCCCAAGAGATCGCTCTAACACAGATGGAAGTGTCAGTGAAGATGAATTTCATTTTTTTGAGGAGTTTTTGACTGAAAGCAATGCCCAGGATACCAGAAGGAAGAAAGAAAAGAGAGAGAGAGAGAAAGGAAGAGAAAGAAAAAGAAAGAGGAAGAAACAGAGAAAGAAAGAAAAAGAAAGAAAGAGAAATATAATATAGCTAAATCCAGATCCAAATACCTACAAAAACCTTTCACAGTGATAAACATCTACAGAGTACCACAGTCAAATATCAGTCATTTTAGTGAAAACCTAGTAAGTATGATAACTGATGCACACATGAATAAAGATCACTTACTACTCTCAGGAGACATCAGTATAAATCTCCTGTAAAACCAGGACTCACTTGTAACTGAATTCACAAACACTGAGTAACTGCTTGTTGCTACCAACAGTAACAAAACCTACAAGAATTACAGAGACTAGTGTTTCCCTATTAGACCACATCTGGACCATGTCCCCTTTTAAATCGGGCATAATCACAGATAATACCACAGACCACTACCCTACCTATAAGCCTCCCCTCTACCTATAACTACCCCCTCTATAAACATGTACATCCTGAAGCCTTCCCATCAGCCTTTTATCCACTAATACATAATCTAACAAACTACTTTCATTACATGCTATATCATACCTTGTAAACTTATCCTCTTTTTCATAAAATATGTATTATTACCAAACCTCTTTCTACACATAGCTCAATTAAAGGATCCCCATTTCCATTTACCCCTGGCACCCCAAATTTACCTACTACTCCCTCCACAATATTTTTACCCACTTTAGCATTGAGATCCCTGACCACAAGTACTCTCTCACTTGGTTCAAAACTCCCCACGCATTCACTCAACATTTCCCAAAATCTCTCTCTCTCCTCTACACTCCTCTCTTCTCCAGGTGCATAAACACTTACCATAACCCACTTTTCACATCCACCCCTTACTTTACACCACATAATCTTTCGAATTTATACATTTATATTCCCTCTTTTCCTGCCATAACTTATCCTTCGACATATTACTACTCCTTCTTTAGCTCTAACCCTGTTTGAAACCCGTGACCTAATCCCATTTATTTCTCCCCACTGAACCTCACCCACCTGCTTCAGCTTTGTTTCACTTAAAGCCAGGACATCCAGTTTCTTCTCATTCATAACATCCAAAATCATCTCTTTCTTATCATTCGCACAACATCCATGCACATTCAAACATCCCACTTTGACGGTTTTCTTCTTTTTCTTTTTAGTAAGCTACTGGAAGAGGGGTTACTAGCTCATTGTTCCTGGCATTTTAGTTGACTTTTACAATATGCATGGCTTATGGAGGGAAGATTCTTATTCCACTTCCCCATGGATATGAAATGAAAAGCACTAAAAACAAGAACTATTAAGATAAAAATCAAAGCAAACTCAGATGAGTGTGTATACATAAATGTGTACATGTGTGTACACATGTATGTGACCTAAGTGTAAGTAGAAGTAGCAAGATGTACCTTAAATCTTACATGTTTATGAGACAGAAAAAAGACACCAGCAATCCTACCATCATGTAAAACAAATACAGTGGACCCCCGGTTTGCAATATTAATACGTTCCTGAGAGCTCATCGTAAACCAAAATTATCGGAAAGCGAATCAATTTTCCCCATGAGAAATAATGGAAATCAAATTAATCCTTGCAAGACACCCGAAAGTATGAAAAAAAAACTTTTACCATGTGAAATATTAAGTTTAACCCTCTCAGGGTTGACAGGCCCTCTCAGAGACTTGTTCTCAGGGTCAGCCAAATTTAAAAACAAAAAAAATATTTTTTCTCATGAAAAGATAGAGAATCTTTTCCCGGTCATAATTACACCAAAAGTATGAAATTTGATGGAAAACTTATGGAATTATGTTCTCGCGAAGTTAGCGGTCTTGACGATGTTTATGCATCGGTGATTTTGCCCACTTTGAGTCCTATTTTCAGCCAATTCCAGTGTACTTATCAACAAAAATCATAACTATTTCACTAGAACTCCATTTTTCTATCAAATGAGTACAAGAAACCACCCATTTACTGATTTCAACTATCCAATACAGTGGTCAGAATTTAGCAATTTTGCCAATTTCACACAAATTTCAAAAGATGCCAATTTCCAAATAGGGTCCAGAATAAACAAGAAAGACATTCCTGGCACTAAAATAACATTTCCTCTGTTGATTAGTCACACCCCCACGCCCCTCTTACATTCTTTTGCTTTCCACTTTGAATTTTTATTCTCACAAAAAAATAGAAGATTTACTGTTACGCGGACTACTGCGTTGGTGTAGAATATTAGACTCACCAGTTGACGTGTATTGGACACACATCATGATTTATTTACTTTGGTAAAAATCGAACATTTCTGCTACTTTGAGTGCAATTTCAAGGTAGTTTTCTTTGTAAAACCAGTCAAAATAGTCTCAATTTCTGTAATATGTCTTCCATTCTATAAAATGAGACCAGGAAAACTAGAATACAACAATAAATACCATACGAAAATACAGTGCAAAGTCATTGTTTTAATCCAAAAACACAGTCAAAGTTTTTTTTTTCTCATTATGCACTGTGTGCTGCACTATTTTTTTTTACACCATGCACACTGACCACATAAACCCATTCTTTCATATGTAGGAATACCAGCTTTCTCTCACTAGATTTGAGGGCACTAGAATTTAGGTATACTAGTATGTCAAAAACCCTGGTGCGTAAGCCGTAATAGTACGGCCGAAACCCTGAAAGGGTTAATGCAATAGAATAATTACAATAACAACAATAACAATAGAATAATAACAATGGAATAATTGACACTTACCTTTAACCCTTTGAGGGTCGACAGGCCCTCTCCGAGACTCGTTCTCAGGGTCGGCCAAATTTAAAAAAAAAAAAAATTCTTATGAAAAGATAGAGAATCTTTTCTCGATCATAATGACACCAAAAATATGAAATTTGATGGAAAACTTACGGAATTATGCTCTCGCGAAGTTAGCGGTCTCGGCGATGTTTACGGATCAGCGATTTTGCCCACTTTGAGCCTGATTTTCAGCCAGTTCCACTGTCTAGTCGACAAAAACATGAATATTTCGCTAAAACTCCATTTTTTCTATTGAATGAGTGCAAGAAACCACCCATTTACCAATTTCAACTATCCAGTACAGTGGTCAGAATTTAGCAATTTTGCCAATTTCACACAAATTTCAAAAGATGCCAATTTCCGAATAGGGTCCATAACAAACAAGAAATACATTCCTGGCACTAAAATGACATTTCCTCTGTTCATTAGTCACGTCTCAAGGCCCCTCTTACATTCTTTTTCTTTCCACTTTGAATTTTTATTCTCACAAAAAATAGAAGATTTACTGTTATGCAGACTACTGCATTAGTGTAAAAAATGGTATGAATCATATTGGCGCACTTGCAAAAGAATATTAGACTCACCAGTTGACGTGTATTGGACGCTTAGCATGATTTGTTTACTTTTGAACTTTGGTAAAAATCGAACATTTCTGCTACTTTGAGCTCAATTTCAAGGTACTTTTCATTGTAAAACCAGTCAGAATCATCTCAATTTCTATGATATGCCTTCCATTCTATAAAATGAGACCAAGAAAACTAGAATACAACAATAAATACCATACGAAAATACAGTGCAAAGTCGCTGTTTTATTCCAAAAAAACGGTCAAAGTTTTTTTTTTTCTCATTATGCACTGTGTGCTGCAGGATTTTTTTTATACCGTGCACACTGACCACATAGACCCATTCTTTCATGTGGAGGCCTACCAGCTTTCTCCCACTAGATTTGAGGGCGCTAGAATTTAGGCGTACTAGTACATCAAAAACCCTGGGTCGTAAGCCGTACTAGTACGTCCGAAACCCTCAAAGGGTTAATGAAGATCTGGTGATGATTAATGGGATGGGAGGAGGGGAGAGTGTTGAACCTATTATTTAGAAGGGGAATCCCCCTCCATTAGAACTTGAGGTAGCAAGTCCTTTTCTGGGGTTACTTCCCTTCTTCTTTTAATGCCACTAGGACCAGCTTGAGAGTCACTGGACTTCTGTCGCACAACATATCTGTCCATAGAGGCCTGTACCTCTCGTTCCTTTATGACTTTCCTAAAGTGGTTCACAACAGTGTCATTGTACAGGTTGCCAACACGGCTTGCACTAGCTGTCTGAGGGTGATTTTCATCAAAAAAAGCTTTGCACTTCAAGCCACTTTGCACACATTTCCCTAATCTTTGAAGTAGGCAACTTCTTTACTTTATCCATCCCCTCCTCCGAAGCAGTTTCCTCAGGTCTGGCCTCTTGCTGTTGAAGATGATCTAGCAGCTCATCAGTGGTTAGTTTGTCATTGTCCTCCTCCATCAACTCTTCCACATCCTCCCCACTAACCTCCAACCCCAAGGACTTCCCCAATGCCACAATGGATTCCTCAACTGGCATAGGCTTCTCAGGGTTAGCCTCAAACCCTTTGAAATCTCAACATTTTCTAACACTTGCGGTCGCTGTTTCGTAATCACAGTTGCACCTTTTGCAAGAACAGCTTCCTTGATTGCCTTTTTCCTACTCACTATAGTATAGATGGTTAATTGGGGTTTACTATACAAATTGGCCAGCTCCGACACACGCACTCCACTTTCGTACTTTGCAATTATCTCTTTCTTCATTTCAATAGTCGTTAGCACCCGTGGTCTCAAAGGGTTGGCACTAAAAGCTTTCTTGGGGCCCATGGTGACTTATTTTGCAGAAACAAGCACCAAAAACAGTGATAATATGGATAATATGGAATGTACCGAATGTATCCTTAGATGCGCGCACACTGGCTGGCTTGTAAACACTGGCACACACGGGGCAGTTCAGGCCACACGTGGACACGTCTCGTACGAATCGCATCGCATACCGGGTTTTGTAACGGGAACCGAGGCAAATTTTTTGCGATATAAACATCGGATACCAGATTTATCGGATACCGATAGCATCGCGAACCGGGGGTCCACTGTACAGGCTTCCTTTTTACACTCATTTGGTAGGACTAATACCTCCCTGAATGGTTGCTGTCTAGCAATCTATTACCTATGAAGATATCTCAAGATATACAGTATAAATGTAGAATTTGTTTTTCAGGTTCTGTCTGTTCTCTTTGTTCCATCCCACCTTGTGTCCCTGATGACATTAGGAGTGACCACAGGCCTGGTGGTAGACATGGGATACCAAGAGACCACAGTTGTGCCTGTTTATGAGAATGTGCCAATACTATATACTTGGCAAGCTCTTCCTTTAGGGGGCAAAGCCATACACAGGTATTACCATTAATGTTTTAACCTTGACTGAATTAATTTTGAGAATTTTTGAGACTACAGCCTTCATGCCTTTAATAATTTTCATATTTTTAGTTTACTTGCTTTTGAGAATGTTGGGTAACTACTCAGCATTTTTTCATAGTTTTGAGAATTTTTTGCAGCAAAAGTTATATGATGTTCCTGCATGAATTAAATATAATTGTCCTGCTCTTGAATTTCAGATAGTAATTTACACAATGTAGATAATGTTACATTCATGTATCAGAAAATATTTCAATTTATGTATTTACAGTTCTTTAAATGAGCTGCTGCTGGACCGTGCCTTAATCTTAGGAGAAGATGGGAAGGAACAGAGGCTGTCTGCTGTTAAACAGAAATTGTCAGACAAAGTTTTGGAGGACATTAAAGGCAAGGTGCCATTACTGTATGCTGCTTTAATTTCTTACGTGATTGATAGGAATTGTTATAAATATTACACTTCTAGCTCCATGGGACTTAAAGCTGAGAGCTCAAAGAAAATAAAAGCAACACAGTCACTTTATTCATATTCTGAATACTTTATATACATAATGATCCTTCAAATTATGTGGCAAAGTTAGTTAAACTATCTTTTTAGCTATAATTTATGAAATCATTGGTAGTCACTTTTCCAACAAGTCGGCAGTCTCCCACCGAGGGAGGGTGACCCAGAAAGAAAGAAAATCCCCAAAATGAAAATACTTTCATCATCATTCAACACTTTCACCTGCTCATACATAATCACTGTTTTTGCAGAGACGCCCAGATACAACAGTTTAGAAGCATATATAAAGATATACGTATAACATATCCCTCCAAACTGCCAGTATCCCAAACCCCTCCTTTAAAGTGCAAGCACTGTACTTCCCATATACAGTACTCAAGTCCGGCTATGTAAAAATCATCGGTTATGCCACTAAATTAATTTGAAAAATTTTTTGCCCCCAATAAGTGTGTAAAGGTAGAAAGTTGACAGTGAACATAGAAAAGAGCAAGGTGATGAGGGTATCAAGTGATTTAGATAAAGAGAAATTGGATATCAAATTGGGGAGGAGGAGTATGGAAGAAGTGAATGTTTTCAGATATTTGGGAGTTGATGTGTCAGCGGATGGATTTATGAAGGATGAAGTTAATCATAGAATTGATGAAGGAAAAAAGGTGAGTGGTGCATTGAGATATATGTGGAGGCAAAAAATGATATCCATGGAGGCAAAGAAGGGAATGTATGAAAGTATAGTAGTACCAACACACTTATATGGGTGTGATGCTTGGGTTGTAAATGCTGCAGCGAGGAGGCGGTTGGAGGCAGTGATGTCCTGTCTAAGGGCAATGTGTGGTGTAAATATTATGCAGAAAATTCGGAGTGTGGAAATTAGGAGAAGGTGTGGAGTTAATAAAAGTATTAGAGGGCTGAAGAGGGTTTGTTGAGGCAGTTTGGTCATTTAGAGAGAATGGATCAAAGTAGAATGACATGGAGAGTGTATAAATCTGTAGGGGAAGGAAGGCAGGGTAGGGGTCATCCTCGAAAAGGTTGGAGGGAGGGGGTAAAGGAGGTGTTGTGGACGAGGGGTTTGGACTTCCAGTAAGCGTGTGTGAGCATGTTAGAGAGTGAATGGAGACGAATGGTATTTGGGACCTGACGAGCTGTTGGAGTGTGAGCAGGGTAATATTTAGTGAAGGGATTCAGGGAAACCGGTTATTTTATATAACCAGACTTGAGTCCTGGAAATGGGAAGTACAGTGCCTGCACTCTAAAGGAGGGGTCTGGGATATTGGCAGTTTGGATGAATATATTGTGTATTTTTATACATATATACTTCTAAACTGTTATATTCTGGGCACCTCTACAAAAACAGTGATTAAGTGTGAGTGAGGTGAAAGTGTTGAATGATGATGAAAGTATTTTCTTTTTGGGGGTTTTCTTTTTTTTTGGGGGGGGGTCACCCTGCCTCGGGAGACGGCCGACTTGTTGAGAAAAAAAAAAAGAAAAAACATTTATAAGCAGGATTGTCTAATAGCTCTCAATAAACTAGAAAATTTTCAACAAAATTGGTAAGTGAAGTTTAAAAATTACAGCAATTCGAGTATCACAAACTTGTCTTCACTTACAGTAAGTAGTAATGAGATAATTACTATAATCCATTATATATTACTCATATCTTTGTATCATTTTGTTTGAACTTACTGGTAGGAGTTTTCCATAAATTGCTATATTTACTCTCATGATTGTAGTAACCTGATTGTAAATTAATCACAGAACTGGTAGGGCTTGAACCCATGGCAAGCCATGGTTTTGAATGCCCCCCATTCTGTGATATGAATTGCTATTATTCATCCACCCTTGATGCTGGTGAATGGCTGTTGATCCAAAGAAATGGAGCTACCCTCCTTTTCCTTGGATTGAATCAGAGTGCCTTAATGACCTCTATGGGTTTTAGCACTACCCCCATGAAGTATATAATAAAGTGAATACTATTGTTCCAGATTTTACTTGTTACATGAATTCTTACTACTATGCTTCTTCATGACAAGCTCAGTTTACTTAGAGGCTTCTGCTCTTCTTGATGACTGCAAGAGTTAAATCTTGGCTTAATCTTTGAAGTGTTATACCTTCTCATCTGGAAGGCTACTATTATATACATACATAAAATAAGTTATCTCCATGGGGAAGTAGAACAGAATTTTCCCTCCGTAAGCCATGCATGTCATAAGAGGCGACTAAAATGCCAGGAGCAAAGGGCTAGTAACCCCTTCTCCTGTATACATTAACTTAAAAAAGAGAAACTTTCATTTTCCTCTTTAGGTCACCCTACTTCAGTGGGATATGGCCAATTTGTTGAAAAAAAAAAGGGTATCTTTTATTTTCCTAAATGACTATTGGTTTTATGTTGAAGTTTGTATTTTAATTAATCTTTTGTACAAGCACTTGCCCACATTTTGCACTCATTTATTTTGCCTAACTAAATATTCTAAAATGGTTGTCTTCATCTTACAAGAGAGATTTTTTTTTCTCTCCAACAGTTCGCACCTGTTTTGTCACCACCCTCGAGCGAAGTGGACGAGTGCAAAGTAATAAGTATGACAGATCTGTGGAACCTCCCCCTCCTGCCCCAAGTGTTCAGTATCCCATGTCTGGTAGCAGCATCTTAACCATTCCTGGTACTGTAAGGGAGATGGCAACAGAAGTCCTCTTCGAAATGGATGAAGACTTGCTCACTTTGCCTTCTATGATACTGAATGCCCTCCGGCAGGTATGGAGAACCTTTAATTTATGGTGCTGCAGCTTTTCACACATTTATAATTTAGGCCTTGCAATTCTTTGATCCTCTGAGGAAACACTTTCAGCTCACTGATTTGATATATTGTTTTATCCATTTATCAAATTTGAAAATGTTTATATTAATCAGTCTTTATACTGTATTTGCATGGTTATAGTACTTAATATGTAAGTTAACTTGGGTAGAAGTCCAAAAAATTTAAGTAAAATAATATGTTGGGAATGCAGAAACTCCAGTAGTAATGGGGATCATATTGTTTATTAGTTAGTGTGAGCCTTTAGGTCTGTTGACATCTCTTAAGTGTATGGATTTGATCAAATGAAGCATTACTTACATCATTGGAAGCCAGTTGAAAGAGCTTTAATAACCTTTTACAGTGAAACTCTTTCATAGGTATCAGTAGCAAGTCAGTTGTTAACTATTTTTAATTATAAAAGCAGTTATTGTTCCAATTTTTTATTACATACAGTAGGGCCCCACTTACACGGCGGGTTAGGTTCCAGGCTGCCGTCGGAAAGCAGACATTGCCGGAAGGCAGAACGCCATTTATTTTTTATTTATAAATGCAGATAAATGCCAGACAACAAGTTTACACTAAATTATATTAAGTTAGTAATAGAACTAGGCATTAAAAACACACAAAGTAAAATACATTCACAGTACATATATTACTTATCTTAAAATATTTGTAATCTTAATGTAGGGAGAAAGGTGAGTAGTACTTATTTCTATGAAGTCAGGTGTAGGTAGCCCTGGCTCCCCATCTCATACTTAATATACAGTATTTAAAACATTCTTATTTTTTTTTAGTAATTATTACAGGAAAAGGGGTTACTAACCCATTGTTCCCGGCATTTTAGTTGACTTTTACAATGCGCATGGCTTACGGAGGAAAGATTCTTATTCCACTTCCCCATGGATATAAAAGGAAAAGTAATTAGAACAAGAACTAAGATAAAATCAAAGAAAACTCAGATGAGTGTGTATAAATAAATTTGTAGTGTGACCTAAGTGCAAGTAGAAGTAGCAAGACGTACCTGCAATCGTGGTGAGTGGTGCATTGAGGTGTATGTGGAGGCAAAAAATGTTATCTATGGAGGCAAAGAAGGGAATGTATGAAAGTATATTAGTACCAACACTCTTATATGGGTGTGAAGCTTGGGTTGTAAATGCTGCAGCGAGGAGGCGGTTGGAGGCAGTGGAGATGTCCTGTCTAAGGGCAATGTGTGGTGTAAATATTATGCAGAAAATTCGGAGTGTGGAAATTAGGAGAAGGTGTGGAGTTAATAAAAGTATTAGTCAGAGGGCTGAAGAGGGTTTGTTGAGGTGGTTTGGTCATTTAGAGAGAATGGATCAAAGTAGAATGACATGGAGAGCTTATAAATCTGTAGGGGAAGGAAGGCGGGGTAGGGGTCGTCCTCGAAAAGGTTGGAGGGAGGGGGAAAAGGAGGTGTTGTGGGCAAGGGGTTTGGACTTTCAGCAAGCGTGCATGAGTGTGTTAGATAGGAGTGAATGGAGACAAATGGTATTTGGGACCTGATGAGCTGTTGGAGTGTGAGCAGGGTAATATTTAATGAAGGGATTCAGGGAAACCAGTTATTTTGTATAACCGGACTCGAGTCCTGGAAATGAGAAGTACAATGCCTGCACTCTAAAGGAGGGGTTTGAGATATTGGCAGTTTGGAGGGATATATTGTGTATTTTTATACGTATGTACTTCTAAACTGTTGTATTCTGGGCACCTCTGCAAAAACAGTGATTATGTCGTGAGGAGGGAAAGTGTTTGAATGATGATGAAAGTCGTAGGCCCCACTATACGCAGGTTAGGTTCGCACGCATAAGCGGAAATCACAGTAAGTGGAACACCCTTTTTTTCCCCTTATAAATGCATACAAATACTAGATAACAAGTTTACACTAACATATATTAAGTTAGCAATAGAACTAGGCATCAAAAAATAATAAAAAAGTACAATACACACATTTTTTGCCACCTTACTACCTAAATATTTAGTCATAAAATCTAGGGTGAGACAAGTAGTATTTATTGTAAGAAATCAACAGTGTGGTATGTATGGTAGTCAGGGCTACCTACCAGGCCACCTCACAACATAATATTCTATTACATTTAAGCATCAGAGCGATAAATGCATATACAGTTTACTCATTACTTACCTTAAAATATTTGTAGTCTTAATCTAGGGTGAGATGAGTAGTATTTATTGTAAGAAATCAAGTGTGGTATGTATGGTAGTCAGCCGGGCTACCATACCAGGCCATTCTACCCACACATACTATTCTACGATATTTAAGCATCCCAGAGCGATAAAATGCATATACAGTTCACTCATTACTTACCTTAAAATATTTGTAGTCTTAATGTAGGGTCAGGGGCGAGTAAACGAGATAAAATGAATAAATGAAAGAGGGAATGAGTACATGAGAGAGGACAGGCGCAGAGTTATGTAAACAATCCAGGCGAACACAAGTTTTGTAAACAAACAAAGTGTACACGTCTGGTTTGTGTACAAGTTACATTGTGTACAAGTTGTCTCTACATTGATATGGTAGAATAAATAAAGAAGAACACTCCCATTCTCATGTAACATCATTTTGAGAAGAAATGACGCTCTGAGTGAAGGCAATGGAAATAAGTCACTCTGACTTTTTTGGGTTATCCTAGGTACTTTACACATATACTGTTATGTATGATAATCTATGTAACTGTATTTGTGTATACCTGAATAAACTTACATACATACGAAAGGAATAATTTTCTACAGTTACCCCAGTAGCACATTTTCTCTTAAGTTAGATTAGAGAAAATGTTATTCTTGCCGTCACTTGTACACGTTATCTGGCTACGACATCTCATATTTATGTTTATTTATTCTATTGTGGGGTGTATTTATCATCTTTATATGTTATGTATCGTGTTTATTATATAATTTTGAAAAAATATCATGGATGGATTAATGAAAATGTGTATATTAACGTAATACAGTGGAACCTCAAAAATCGAACTGCTCCCAACACGACCAATTATGTAAGTGTATTTTTGTAAGTGCTTTTATAAGTGTATTTTTGAGGGTCTGAAATGGACTAATCTAACTTACATTATTCCTGATGGGAATAAATTCATTCAGTAAAGGCACTCGAACAGCCTTCTGGACTGAAGAAAGTTCGATATTTGAGGTTCCACTGTATATGACATTTAATGAGACTCGGTGATGATGATTATTATTATTATTATTATTATTATTATATTTCTAATATGGTGTCACTTGTGCAAGTCGTCTGCTACCACATCTCATATTTATGTTTATTTATTCTATTGTGGGGTGTATTTATCATCTTTATATGTTATGCATTGTGTTTATTATATAATTTTGAAAAAATATCATAGATGGATTAATGAAAATGTGTACATTAACGTAATATACGACATTTAAATGAGACTCGGTGATTATTATTATCATTACTAATATGACTTCTCAAGATATAAGACACGCTTACTGATTTTAATGTGTACATGCACGCCAGACACAGTATGTGAGTTTGGGTTTGTCATACATGGCAGCTGTACTGCTGTGCTTGAGTTTTGAAAACCCTACCCTGCCATTGTGATGTGGTGCCTAGTGTTTAAATTATTGCAGTTCTTTGAAGATGGCCTTTGATAGCACTAAAAATTTACAAATTAGTTTTAGAAAGGACAACTCATAGTGTAGAGCGTTGAGCGGGTTTTTTAGCGGTATGTGAGGCAAAATCTTGGCGATAAAATGTAGCGGTATGCGGATTTAATATTATGTAAGGCCAACGGTATGCGGGGGTCCACTGTACATAGGTTTCCCACTCTGAGGCAATCAGGATAAAACAAAAATGGGTTGCCAGAGAGCAACAAGAAAAACCAATGGACAGGAGGAAGCTGCAAAGGAAGATTGGGCAGCAGAGCTCATAAAAATGGATCATGAATGGGAAAAGAAACTAGAACTTAGCATGAGAATGGAAGAGAGGATAGATATGGAAAGCAGGAAGTGGGAGGTGCATGTCAAAGCAGCAGAGGCTAGGATACAGAGTTTAGAAGAGGAACTGAAAAATCTGAAACAGCCTAAAGAACTAAAGAACATTTTGGGATTGACAACAGAGACTGCTACCTCAGCCACAAATAAGGGGACTGTGGGGAAAGAAGGGGCACAACTGCATGGAGAAGCTCTATCAGAGGAGACTGTAGTAAATGAAAGAGCTAAGCTTTATGTGGAGGCCCTAACAGACAACAACAGAGCCCAAGGAAAGCCGAGAAGGGAAAATGACAGGCCACTGAGCCCAAGTACATTAGCCAGTGAAACTGAAGAAAGGAAAGCTGCAGTGGAGGAAACCAAATTAAATGAGGGGATACACAGGGATATGCAGTGGGAGAATGAAAGGGTGAGGTCAGTCTTTGTGTATGGGCTCCAGGAAGTTGAAGGGGAAACATATGAAGCAAGAAAACAAGGGGAAAAAAAAGCAATTGAAACCATCATGAAAGCAATAGGAGAAGACGACATGACCCAGCTGGAAAATTTTCGGAGAATAGGGGGGTTTGTAAAAAAAAGAACCCGGCCAGTGAAAGTGACGTTCAAGGCAGAAGCGACTCGGACCAGGATCCTGCAGGAGAAAGCACGATTAAGGGACATGCCGGCATACAGGAAGGTGTATCTCGACCGCGACAGAACACAAGAAGAAAGGCAGAAACTGAGAGATGGTACAAAGGCGAGAGGAGGAAAGAGAGGGGATGGAGAAGACAGACAGGAGATCCCAGACCCAGGAAGAAGATCAAATACAGCCTCCCTCACAACTTCCTATAGAAGCCTCCCAACCAGGTCAACCCCAGTGCAACCAAACACTCTAAATCAAAACACCCATGCCACATCCAATGCCCCCACCCACTACATTACAAACTCCACCCCCCCAGCAACAACCCATAGTTCCTTACCAGGTCTCCCACTTCCCCAACCCCAATATACCTCCCAGACCACAGTCTTAGAAAAGAAGTTGAAGGTGTGGTATACAAATGCAGATGGAATAACAAACAAGTACGAGGAGTGGCACGAAAGAATCAAGGAGACATCCCCAGACATAATAGCACTCACAGAAACAAAACTCACCAGAATAATAACAGATTCAATCTTTCCATCCGGATATCAAATCCTCAGGAAAGACAGAGGGAGGAGAGGGGGAGGAGGAGTTGCTCTGCTCATTAAAAACCAGTGGGGTTTCGAGAAAATGGAAGGAATGGATGGCACGGGCGAAAGGGACTACTTAGTAGGAACAATCCAGTCTGAGGGGCATAAGGTGATAATTGCAGTAATGTACAACCCACCACAGAACTGCAGGCGGCCAAGAGAAGAATACGATGAGAGCAACAGAGCAATGATCGACAACTAGCCGAGGTGGCCAGGAGAGCACACATGGGGGAGCAAAGTTACTAGTTATGGGTGATTTCAATCACAAGGAGATTGACTGGGAAAACCTGGAGCCCCATGGGGGTCCCGAAACATGGAGAGCCAAGATAATGGATGTGGTACTGGAAAACCTCATGCATCAACATGTTAGAGACACTACCAGAGAGAGAGGAGAGGATGAACCAGCAAGGCTGGACCTTGTATTCACCTTGAGTAGTTCGGACATCGAGGGTATCATGCATGAAAGGCCCCTCGGAGCTAGTGATCATGTGGTTCTGTGCTTCGACTACATAGTTGAGCTCCAAGTGGAGAGAGTAGCAGGAATAGGCTGGGAAAAACCAAACTACAAAAGGGGGAACTACTCAGGCATGAGGAACTTCCTTCAAGACATTCAGTGGGAGAGGGAACTGACAGGAAAACCAGTACAAGAAATGATGGACTATGTGGCAACAAAATGCAAGAAGGCAGAGGAGAGGTTTGTTCCCAAGGGAAACAGAAATAATGGGAAGAACAGAACGAGTCCTTGGTTCACCAAAAGGTGTAGGGAGGCAAAAACTAGGTGTACTAGAGAATGGAAAAGGTACAGAAGACAGAGAACTCAGGAAAATAAAGAAATCAGCCGAAGAGCCAGAAACGAATATGCACAGATAAGAAGGGAGGCTCAGAGACAATATGAAAACGACATAGCATCAAAAGTAAAGACTGACCCGAAGCTGTTCTACAGCCACATCAGGAGGAAAACAACAGCCAAGGACCAGGTAATCAGACTGAGGAAGGGTGATGGGGAATTCACAAGAAATGACCAGGAGGTATGTCAGGAGCTCAACACAAGATTTAAAGAGGTATTTACAGTGGAAACCAGTAGGACTCCAGGAAATCAGAACAGGGGGGCACACCAGCAAGTGCTGGATGAGGTACATATAACCAAGGAGGAGGTGAAGAAGCTCCTATGCGAACTTGACACCTCGAAGGCGGTGGGACCAGACAACATCTCTCCATGGGTCCTTAAAGAGGGAGCAGAGATATTGTGTGAGCCATTAACAAAGATCTTCAACACATCATTTGAAATTGGCAACTCCCTGAGGTATGGAAAATGGCAAATGTAGTCCCAATTTTTAAAAAGGGAGACAGACATGAGGCACTAAACTACAGACCTGTATCACTAACGTGTATAGTATGCAAGGTCATGGAGAAGATCATCAGGAGGAGAGTGGTGGGGCACCTGGAAAGAAACAAGTGTATAATTGACAACCAGCACGGTTTCAGGGAAGGAAAATCCTGTGTCACAAACCTACTAGAGTTTTATGACAAGGTGACAGAAGCAAGACAAGAGAGAGAGGGGTGGATCGACTGCATATTTTTGGACTGCAAGAAGGCCTTCGACACAGTTCCTCACAAGAGGTTACTGCAAAAGCTAGAGGATCAGGCACACATAACAGGAAAGGCACTGCAATGGATCAGAGAATATCTGACAGGGAGGCAACAACGAGTCATGGTATGCGACGAGGTGTCAGAGTAGGCACCTGTGACGAGCGGGGTTCCACAGGGGTCAGTCCTAGGACCTGTGCTGTTCTTGGTATATGTGAATGACATAACGGAAGGGATAGACTCAGAAGTGTCCTTGTTTGCAGATGATGCGAAGTTAATGAGAAGAATCAAATCGGATGAGGATCAGGCAGGACTACAAAGAGACCTGGACAGGCTACAAGCCTGGTCCAGCAACTGGCTCCTTGAATTTAACCCTGCCAAATGCAAAGTCATAAAGATTGGGGAAGGGCAAAGAAGACCGCAGACACAATATAGTTTAGATGGCCAAAGACTGCAAACCTCACTCAAGGAAAAAGATCTGGGGGTGAGTATAACACCGAGCATATCTCCTGAGGCGCACATCAATCAGATAACTGCTGCAGCATATGGGCGCATGGCAAACCTACGGATAGCGTTCCGATACCTCAGTAAGGATTCGTTTAAGACTCTGTATACCATTTACGTCAGGCCCATACTGGAGTATGCAGCACCAGTTTGGAATCCACACCTAGTCAAGCACGTCAAGAAATTAGAGAAAGTGCAAAGGTTTGCAACAAGACTAGTCCCAGAGCTACGGGGATTGTCCTACGAAGAAAGGTTGAGGGAAATCAGCCTGACGACACTGGAGGACAGGAGGGTCAGGGGAGACATGATAACGACATATAAAATACTGCGCGGAATAGACAAGGTGGACAAAGACGAGATGTTCCAGAGAGGGGACACAGACACAAGAGGTCACAATTGGAAGTTGAAGACTCAGATGAATCAAAGGGATGTTAGGAAGTATTTCTTCAGTTATAGAGTAGTCAGGCCGTGGAATGGCCTAGAAAGTGACGTAGTGGAGGCAGGAACCATACATAGTTTTAAGGCGAGGTATGATAGAGCTCATGGGGCAGGGAGAGAGAGGACCTAGTAGCAATCAGCGAAGAGGCGGGGCCAGGAGCTGTGACTCGACCCCTGCAACCACAAATAGGTGAGTACAAATAGGTGAGCGCGCGCGCACACACACACACACACACACACACACACACACACACACACACACACACACACACACACACACACACACACACACACACACACACACACACACACACACACATATATATACATATATATACATACATTCTTACCCCGGCATATTGGCAGGTACACATACACACTCACATCCCCTTGTCTGTGTTCGTAGGTTCGAACCTTAGGCATTAACACTAATATATATATGTATTTGGAGGGGTTTGGAATATTGGCAGTTTGGAGGGGTATGGTATATATCTTTATATATGCTTCTGAACTGTTGTATCTGGGCACATCTGCAAAGACAGTGATTATGTGTGAGTGAGGTGAAAGTGTTGAATGATGATGAAAGTATTTTCTTTTTGAGGATTTTCTTTCTTTTTGGGTCACCCTGCCTCGGTGGGAGATGGCCGACTTGTTAAAAAAAAGATACATATATATATATTTATATATATATTTTTTTTCAGTGCCCCATCGATACAAGACAAGCACTTGCAGGTAATTTAGTTTTCATTGGAGGTACTGCCAGTGTGAAGGGCATGAAGCATCGTATTCTTTCAGAAGTGCAGGCACTAGTCTCTTCACCACCGTTTATGGATTTGCTGAAGCTTAATTCTTTCAAGGTTCATCAGCCACCAGCCAAGGACAACTATGTAGCATGGTTAGGAGGTAAATGATTTTTAACTTACTGAAACTAAGTGCTTTAACTAATTCTTCTCAGGTTACTGGACAATAACTTGTGCATTTGAATAAAGAATAAAACATTGATCACAATCCATGAAGCCGATTCGTCATGGATCAAGAGTTATTCTAGACCTTCCATGATTTTGATGTCCATCAAGTACATATTGTAAAATCTAATGGTAATCACATTCTTTATCTCTTTGACTGTTTCGGCAGTATACAGGTCTCCCTCAACATTTGCGAGGATTAGGGGATGAAGAGCCTCGCAAATGTTGAAAAATCGCGAATGTTTGGTGCCCCAGTATATTGTAGGGAAATATAATACAATACTGCTTCCTTAACTTGTTGAACCATGAACAGTCATAAAATACATGAAAACATCGTAAAATATTGTACCATATACATACATACATGTTACGGTTTAATAACATGTATGTTAGTAAGTACCTCTGCCTCAGCCACTGCCTCTACCACTGCTTCAACCACTGCAGTGCACTGCCTCAACCACTGCAGTGCACTGCCTCATATTTTTGTACAATTTATTTGTTCAATTCTATCATGTTTCTCAATTTCTTTACCAACGGGCTGGCACTAGCAAGTTTCTTTGGGCCCATGGTTAATTATGTAACAGTCGCACTCAATCTACAAGCACCAAACACAATGAATTATTGTGAAATGTTTGGGAGAGCACGGAGGCTAATGCTCACTCCAGCATCAACAAAGCCAAACTGACTCATGGTGCCTCCCACCATTGATTCAACCCTCATATTTTTATATAATTTCCTTCAATTCTATCGTATTATTATTAATAACATGTATGTTATTAAATACCACTGCCTCCACCACTACCTCAACCGCGGCTTCAACCGCTGCCTCAGCTGCTGCCTCATCAACTGCCTCTACCACTGCCTCTACCACTACCTCAACCACTGCGGTCGCACTCATTCTACAAGCACCAAACAAAATGAATTATTGTGAAATGTTTGGAAGAGCATGGAGGCTAATGCTCACTCCAGCATAAACAAAGCCAAACTGACTCACGATGCCTCCCACCACTGCTTCAACCCTTGTAATTTTGTATACAATGGGGAGAAATCAGGATGGGGGCACGTCACAAGCGGTGTTCCGCAGGGGTCAGTGTTGGGCCCATTGTTGTTCACAATTTACATAAACGACATAGATGAGGGAATAAATAGCGACATTTGAATAAGCAAATTTGCTGATGACACAAAATAGGCCGCCCAATTCATTCTAATGAGGACACCAGAGCACTCCAGGATGATTTGAATAGACTGATGCAGTGGTCGGAGAAGTGGCAGATGCAGTTTAATATAGACAAATGCAAAGTTCTAAATATTAGACAGGAAAATAACCATGCCACATATAAACTTAATAATGTAAATCTTAATACTACTGATTGCAAAAAGGATTTAGGAGTTCTGATTAGCAGTAATCTAAAACCAAGATAACAGTGTATTAGTGTTCGCAATAAAGCTAACAGAATCTTTGGCTTCATATCAAGAAGTATAAATAATAGAAGTTCTCAGGTTGTTCTCCAACTCTATATATCCTTGGTTAGGCCTCATAAGTAAGTTTATTCAGGTATACACAAATAGTTACATAGATTATCATACATAGCAGCATATGTGTAGAGAACCTAGGATAACCAAAAAAGTCAGACAGAGTGACTTATTTCCATTGGGGTCCTTTTACCTTTTACCTCATTTAGATTATGCTGCACAGTTTTGGTCACTGTATTACAGAATGGATATAAATGCACTGGAAAACTTTCAGCTTTCGCGGGCTTCACACATTCGCAAATTCCCAACCGCCAAATTCCCAACCACCAAATTCCCAGCCGCCAAATCATATTTAAGTTTCCCGCCACCCGCGAGTCCGTACTACCCTCCCTCCGACCCCCACATCTGGCAGCCAGCCCTCCCACCACTCAGTGTGGTGAGTGTGTTGTTTGTTCATTATTTGCCATTAAACTACAGTATAAATAATGTCAACCCATTCATGACTGAATATTGGAATGGCTATTCGGATAGGTATTGGATGGTGACATCGTATGTTTACACTTGAACATGGCAAAGAATCAAACATTTCTGCTACTGCTAATAATAATAATAATAATACGATAGAATTGAAGGAAATTGTGCAAAAATAAGAGGGTTGAAGCAGTGGTGGAAGAAGTGGTTGATGCATCGTCAGTCGGTGTGCCTTTGTTTATGCTGGAATGAGCATTAGTCTCCACACTCTTCCAAACATTTCACAATAATTCATTGTGTTTCATGCTTGTAGATTTAGTGCGACTGGAGTGGAAGAGGCAGCGGTTGAGGCAGTGGTTGAGGCAGTGGTTGAGGCAGTGGTTGAGGCAGTGGTAGAGGCAGCGGTTGAGGCAGCGGTTGAGGCAGTGGTCGAGGCAGTGGTTAAGGCGGTGGTTGAGGCAGCGGTTGAGGCAGCGGTTGAGGCAGCGGTTGAGGCAGCGGTTGAGGCAGCGGTTGAGGCAGCGGTTGAGGCAGCAGTTGAGGCAGTGTTTGAGGCAGTGTTTGAGGCAGTGGTTGAGGCAGTGGTTGAGGCAGCGGTTGAGGCAGTGATATTTAATAAGATATATGTTATTAATAATAATAATACATATTATTAATAACATGTATTATTATTATTATTAACATGTTATTAAAAACCACTCCCTCAACTGCTGCCTCAACCGCTTCCTCAACCACTGCCTCAACCACTGCCTCTACCACTCCCTATACCACTGCCTATACCACTGCCTCATCCACTGCCTCATCCACTGCCTCAACCACTACCTCTACCACTGCCTCTACCACTGCCTCAACCACTGCCTCAACCACTGCCTCAACCACTGCCTCAACCACTGCCTCAACCACTGCCTCAACCACTGCCTCAACCACTGCCTCTACCACTGCCTCTACCACTGCTTATACCACTGCCTCAACCACTGCCTCAACCACTGCCTCAACCACTGCCTCTACCACTGCCTCTACCACTACCTCAACCACTACCTCAACCACTACCTCAACCACTGCCTCAACCACTGCCTCTACCACTGCCTCTACCACTGCCTCTACCACTGCCTCACCCACTACCTCTACCACTACCTCTACCACTGCCTCAACCAATGCCTCAACCACTGCCTCTACCACTGCCTCTAGCACTGCCTCTGCCTCAGCCACTGCCTCTACCACTGCCTCTACCAATGCCTCTACCACTACCACTGCCTCAACCACTGCCTCAACCACTGCCTATACCACTGCCTATACCACTACCTCAACCACTGCCTCTACCACTGCCTCTGCCTCTACCAGTGCCTCTACCACTGCCTCTGCCTCTACCAGTGCCTCTACCACTGCCTCTGCCTCTACCAGTGCCTCTGCCTCTACCAGTGCCTCTACCACTGCCTCTGCCTCTACCAGTGCCTCTACCATTGCCTCTGCCTCTACCAGTGCCTCTACCACTGCCTCTACCACTCCAGTCGCACTCAATCTACAAGCACCAAACGCAATGAATTATTGTGAAATGTTTGGAAGAGTGTGGAGGCTAATGCTCACTCCAGCATAAAGAAAGGTACACTGACTGACGATGCATCAACCATTTCTTCCACCACTGCTTCAACCCTCGTTTTTTTGTACTATTTCCTTCTTCAATTCTATCGCATTAATAATAATAATAATACGATAGAATTGAAGAAGGAAATTGTACAAAAATACAAGTGTTGAAGCAGTGGTGGAGGAAGTGGTTGAGGCATCGTCAGTCAGTGTGGCTTTGTTTATGCTGGAGTGAGCATTAGCCTCCATGCTCTTCCAAACATTTCACAATAATTCATTGTTTGGTGCTTGTAGATTGAGTGCGACTGCCACATAATTAACCATGGGCCCAAAGAAACTTGCTAGTGCTAGCCCTTTGGTAAAGAAATTGAGAACACGATATAATTGAAGAAAGGAATTGTACCAAAATACGAGCAGTGCGCCTAAGTGCTTGAGGCACTGGTGGAGGCAGTGGTATTTAATAACATACATGTTATTAAACCATAACATGTATGTATTTAGTACAATATTTTATGACATTTTCATGTATTTTATGATTATTCATGGTTCAACAAGTTAAGGAAGCAGTATTGTATTATATTTCCCTACAATATATTAGGGCACCAAACATTCGCGATTTTTCAACATTCGTGAGACTCTTGATCCCCTAACCCTCGCGAATGTTGAGGGAGACCTGCATAAATAAAGGGGATGTCAATAGCATGCAGAAAATTTCCGGCCAAGGCAGGACTCGCAGTAATGGTTTCAAGTTGGAAAAATTCAGATTCAGGAAGGATATAGGAAAGCACTGGTTTGGTAATAGAGTTGTGGATGAGTGGAACAAACTCCCGAGTACAGTTATAGAGGCTAAAACGTTGTGTAGTTTTAAAAATAGGTTAGATAAATATATGAGTGGGTGTGGGTGGGTGTGAGTTGGACCTGACTAGCTTGTGCTACTAGGTCTGATGCCGTGCTCCTTCCTTAAGTGGAAGTGACCTGACTAGGTGGGTCATTGGGCTAATCCAGGGGTGGGGACATGGACCTGCTTCGCATGGATCAGTATGCCTGCTGTAGTGTTCCTTCTTTCTTTTGTTCTTGTGTATTATTATTATTAATAACATTTATTATTATTATTATTATTATTACAGTGGAACCTCAAAAATCGAACTTAATCCGTTCCAGGAGCTAGTTCTAAATTCAAAAAGTCTGAAATTCGAAGCAATATTTCCCATAAGAAATAATGGAAATACAATTAATCCATTCCAGAAACCCAAAAATATTCACACAAAAAATACATTTTATAGAGATTAATTACAGTTTTACATACAACAAATACTATTGTTTTTAATCATGTATAGTAATACGTATAAAATAACATTTTTACTTACCTTTATTGAAGATTGGTGATGGCATCTGGGAGATAGGGAGGAGGAG